AATACACAATATCATGCTTCTATTAAATTTGCACTATATGAAATACTTTACGGTCATATACCTTCTATTCATATTATTTACTTGCCAAAGAATTATACTATTGAAGTTGTGGATACACTTCTCATATAAAGGGAAGACATGTTGAAATCTATCAAAACCAATTTTAAGGTGGCATAACATAGGATGATCCAACATGCTAACAAGAAAATGAATAAAAGGATGTTTGTTGTGGGTAATTGGATTTATCTTAAACTACAACTCTACAAATAAAGGTTAGAGGTTACAAGAGAATCACACAAACCATCACAAAAGAATCACATAAACTATCAACTAAATTTTATGGTCTATAGGCAATTGAATGTATTGGGATAATGGCTTACAAGCTACACCTACTTTTATTGCCACAATCCACGTAGTATTTCATGTATCACAATTAAAGAAGCATATGGGGTGTAAAAGAGTATACAAAGATTTACCCGAACTACATGATAGCCTAAAACCCTAACCTCGAGCAATATTGAATAGAAGAATGGTGAAGGATCACAATAGTGCAACCACTCAGGTCCTGATCTTGTGGAAGAATTCACTTATAGTTGAAGCCACGTAGGAGTTCTTTAAAGAGTTTTCTCTAAAGTTTCCAACATTTCCCCTTGAGAATAAGGGTGTTTTTCTGAATGGAGAATTGTTATGTGCATTATTAAAGAAAGAAGATCCCTAAAAAAAAAAGTTAGGGTTGATTGATTCAAATAAAAAACCATTTCAGTTTTAATTAAAAAGACAAGGGAAAACACAGCATTTCACTTACCCGCTTCAACACAATGTTTTGTCCTCATTTTAAGTTTTATTTATCCTATTTTCAACAGTGTTTTATTTTTATTTATTAGTTATAATTGTTGCCACGAATTGGTCTAAATTAAAGGAATAGTACTATTAGACAACCCTATATGTAACAACATTTTTTTCTAGGAAAAATAATGATGAAATTAGTTTCTTTTTCTCCCTTTTTTGTCGTCTCTTTCTTCCTCTTTCTTCTTCTCTCTTCTAACTCATTACTGCCATTGGATAGCATACTATGCATTATTGTTCTTCTTCACTAAACTTTTTGGATGCTCTTCAAGTGCCGTGGAAATCCAGCTCACTACAACTTGTTAATGCTCATGCTAGGGCTACATATGTCGAAAACAAGGAATAAATTGACACCTTGAACCGATGAGAAAATATTACGTGGGTATGTTTATTATCATGCACACTGCTGCTGGATGCATTCATAAATTTAATTATTATATGTTTATTATCATGCACACTGCTGGATGCATTCATAAATTTAATTATTATTCAAAAGCAAGCTACAATTCCAATCGATTATAAAAATAGGATTCTTAGCATGCCCCGTAAATATCAAATCATACAAACCATTATCAAAACAATAGGAAAATAAAATACAAAATAGAATGCAATAATTACATTATTATAAAAAAAAAAAAACTAAAATGAATCAGTCTTTAAGTGTGGCTTTAGACTTATAACACTATAAATTGTAACAATATTATGACATCTAAGCTTTTCTTTACACAATTTAAAGATACTACTTTTAAAGGTGTTTTGTATTTTAACAGAGATTTAATTGACATTGCTAAATTCATTGACGGAGGATTGGTCTTCATATAATTTTGTAGCATAATGTAATGGTTTTTTTCACCCAAATAGAAAAATAATATATACCTATCACTCAAAGGTATTTTTAACATTTCAGCTTTAAATATACAATGAATTCATGATCATAACTCTTGAAGGCAAAAAAAAAATAGAAAAAAAAATTAAGTGTGCAATGATATTTATGGATTTTCCTTTCGGTTTTTTAGATAATTATCAAATTAAGAGAGTTGTTGCATATGTTACTAATTATATAATATTATTTAAATTATTAAACTAGAAGCGTGTAGGGGCTTGAAAACAATTTTTGCAGCTTGCACGGCCACGATACATGACCAAAGCATGGCTTCCGAGTGATGGACTCCTCTAGGTGGTGCCTGCCTAACCAAGTGACACATGTTTCTTCTCCATCTCTGATTTATTTACGTTGCTTTTTTTCTCTCTCTCCTTTTCTCTCTCATCTAAGCTGGTGAAATAACCCAATCACAGATTCAGATGTATCAATCAATCCCAAAATTTAAACCGTCAACTGAACTTCAAGAACAAAATCAAGTCACGCTCGCATGGAAACAATGGTTACAAATCTGACTATTTACAACTTATATGCAACCAACATTCAATCATATTATTAGAAACTGAATTTTTTTGAAGCGCGGATTTGTAATCTGACTGGACTAGCAATTTCCAGAATAAAATCATGCCACGACAGCAATTCTCACATAGAAAAAATGGTTAGAAATCTGACTATTTACAACTTGCATGTAGCAAATATTCAATTATATTTTTAGAAACTGAATTTTTAAGGCACTAATTTGAACTCTAGCTATCCCTTGATAGGATAAGTCCAAACTACAAAAATGAGCCAAATAATGAAGGTACGAGACTAAAATAATAGGCAACCTCAAGGCAGGATGCATTCAAACATAAAATTACTACGGAATGGATAAATTAGAAATTAGTGCTCAATAGAAACAAAATCTATTCTCGAAGGTCAGAAACATGTTGAAACAAGAAGGAAAAGGAAAGAGAAACGCTAAGATGCAGGGTGCGGGAGCGGGATTGGCCTCACAGCACTTTGAATTCGCCTAAATGCTGTCCTGACTCGTTCCTTGAGACCTTCATTCTCGCTCTCAACATCCCCACTCTGTTTGTCAAGCTCTGCCACATTCCCATCGACACGTATGACCAGCTTCCCGTTCTCTCCAAGTTTCACATCTCCAAAGAGTGAAACAAGGAGGGCATAAATCACTTTCTCTGCTTTTTTCTCATTTTCTTCCTCAGATTTTATGTCCTCTGACTCAACTATTACCTTAGGAACCTCCCGGCTGATGTTCAAAACCAAAGCTACAATTGAATCAGACACCATATCACTTATGGGGTCAGCAGTCCAATGAAGTGAAATATGTCTGTCAGACTCTTGTTTCACTGTTACCAGCTCATGCACCTGCAGTGTTGGAGACCCAGACTCCTCGTCACTTCCAGACTCCACACTCTCATAAATCTGCTCAAGCCTGTGCTTTATCACACCAAATGCACCAGAAAAAGGAATGGTAATCCTCTGATTAATATTTCCCGTTGATAATTGTGAGAAGACATGGAGATCTCCAGGTGCCATGATTTGATAAGTGAAGCCCTTCTTCACCAGCATCCCACTGACAGTTTCATCAACATCCGGGGTCCTTTCAGCCAGCTTTCCAATGGTTTTTGCCATCTTTTCAGAGTTGAAATACATCTCAACAGACTGGCAATTCTTTGGGGTGATTATCTTGGTGTTGCCGTCAGTAAACTCTGTGATAAGTTTCTGTTTGAGCCTTCCCATTTCATTGGCTTCTCCATGAACTAGAATAATGTTAGGAGGCATGAGCTCTTTCAAAAAGGTACTTGTCTGAGCATAATCTGCATGGGCAGAGAATGAGATGTAATGGACCTGCATGTTGAGTGGTGCAGTCACTCCATTCATGAGCTGTACCTCCTTTGGTTCATTAATGATTGTCTTAGCTAGGGTCCCTTCAACAACATATCCAGGTATAACACAAGCATTTTTCTTATCAGAGCACCACATATCAAACAATTGCCTTGACAAACCACTCTGAAGTCCACAAGGACTTGCCATAACCACAGATGGCCCTACATCAGTAAAATCTTCAATGCTATTCAACGGTGATATATGCTTGAATTTGAAGGGGTTTGAATTCGCAAACTGATTGCGGATCCTTTCATTCATAGAAAGGATGTATGTCTGGTAAACAGTCATACACTTTTTTGCAAGGGGAGAAGCATAATATATGGGAATGTTATGAAGCTCAGGATGGTTTGCCCAATACTCATCAAGGATCAAAAGGAGTTCTTGAGCTCGGCCAAGAGCAAATGCTGGAATTAGAACACGACCACCTCGAGAGATGGTGGAATGGATAACATCAGTGAAGCGCTTCTCCCGAAGGTGTCGAGGTTGATGGAGTTGGACACCATAGGTAGATTCAATTATGCATATGTCTGGAGAGAATTGTGGCATCTCAGCAGCACGAAGATGCCGATCTTCTTCACGTGAATAGTCTCCAGTATACAGCACTCGAACACCAGCGATATCTACCATGAACATGGCAGCGCCAAGGACATGACCAGCAGTGTAGCACCAAAATTTAATGCCATTAACATCCAGAGTCTGATGGAAGTCAATAACCTGCAATTACAAAAATCATCAATGAAATGACGGAATCTTATATTAAACAGAGGATCACAAAGGAACATTACAAGTAACCCCATAATAAGGAAAATAAGACCTAGCAAACACCAGCAGATCTGCTTACACAGAATGACAAAAATGCAAACACATGCACCAAACCTTGACAGAAGTGTCAGGTCAGGGATTAGGATTAACAGTCCATGTATGAATAGAAAAACATATAAAAGAGATATACTCATGTTCCCTCTGCAATCTCTCAATGGTTTTGACCACTTGCACTCATGGATCGTGATTTTGCTACAAGGAAGGATGGAAAAAAAATCAAAAGAAATCCTCGCTTTGAATTGGCTCCATAGGATTGTATTTTCAGAATGCTACCAAAAATTAAATACCTACTTATTTTTCTTATTTCATAATTGTGAAAACACCTTTTAATCAGCCCAAACATTACCTAACATGGATCGGTCAGGGACAGATTTACCAACTTAAAATGCCAAGCATGATGCTTACCAAAAAGAGAAGCTATATTGAGAAAGAGATAAGCAACTCCCATTTTGGAAGAAGCACCCTTCTTCAAAGAAACAAGGGAATAAAATACATAGATTCTTCTTCTACTTTTGAATTACTGTTATCTTATTACTAATCACGTAAATCTTACATGCGCAGGAAGAGAAAGAGTTAAAGGGCACTCACTATCATATGACCCAAACTCTCATAGTTCAATAAACATGCATGGCTGTCAACCTCAACTACTTGAATATGCTCTTTGATTTTATCAGGCAATAGAGTATTCCAAATGCAACTTAAGTGTGGAATGAACTTAGATTGATCAGTACTGGAAAGAAGAAAGGCATAACTTAATTATCAGATGCACATAAATTGGTCCACAGTTTACATGTGAAACATTCAAGCCTCAAATGAGAAGCCAACAACTAACATTGCCAAACTCAAACAGACTGAAAGCTAAGAAATCCATAGAAAGCAAAATTCATAACCCCAAATGCAAGATTGAAACACTTTAGATTCCAGAAGACGCAAACCTTTCATCTAGAGCAATTAAGTCAACATGGATAGGAGGTGATAAAGAAGAATAACCAATAAGCTGAATTCCTGATCCCCTCACTTTGGGACCACAACATCATGCCAAGCTAAATATAATAAACAAAAATATTTCCAATCTATTGCTTAGATGGAAGGTAAACGAAGTAGATCAAGTTTCTGGAAGAACAAAAAGGTTGCGGATAGATGCAAACAAATGAATGCAAGAATTCATAAACACAGACCTCGATTTTATCCATTGAGCGGTTTATGTCTTTCTCATCAAACAACATATCTTCCACTGAAACTTTGCTCACTTTTACATAATCAGTCAAAAGCAACTTGAAGATAGCCTTTGTCGCATGAGTCATGAAAACACGACCTCTGAATGTGGTCTGATAAAGAGTGAACATGTTAGATCAATCCTAGTGAAAGATACACACAACAGCTTTGTAGAAATCAGTAAAAAAAACAAACCTTCTCAAGAAAATAAGGTAGGGATGCAGCATGATCCAAGTGAAAGCTGCAAGCAGAAAACATCACTCCCAATGATTGATGAAAAAAACCTAGAGAGGCCTAAAAATTTTGATTGAAAAAGTAACGATAGAAAACAAACTAAATTGATCAAATGATTTTTCAATATTTTCATTTTTTGAATAATTGCATGATATGCAATCACACTAATATTCAATATAATTAATTAGTAGAAATAATTAATATTGTTTTATTGTTTTCCTTTCTTGTTGAACAGTATGATATTTAATCACATTAAAAAAATTATTATAACATAGTATAGAAAATCAAGATTTTCCTAAATGATTTCACCTGGAAAACGGATTGCTTTAACTCCCCAATCAAATGTACTCTCAGCACTGTTCTATTGTGGTTCCCATCATAAGCAAATAAACCTCACGAGCACAACCCTATTTCTTAGAAGATCACTAGCCTTCTTGCAACAAGGAACATGTGAATAATTAAAATATAGATATTACAAGTCTGTGACACTTCAAATTCCATCAACACTTTATCAGACATCTCATTGCATCTCATTACATCTATACTTCTCTACAGCTGCATGGATCCAGTTAAGAGTAAAAAAGTTCCCAGCACACATCAAGAATACTACTGATAACTTTTTATAGAGGTAAGAAAGTTCAGCCTGCCCTCTCGTTGACAAAGCATCAAGTTTAAGTTTCACTGTTTCAGTTTATATTATTGTCAAGTGCCACATTATAACAGACTTGCTAACTTCTACTGATGAGGGAACTAAGAATAGAACCCAGCCACTGCCTATCAAATGACCCTAATAATGCAAGCTCAAACACCTAGGGAACTGCATCATGTGGTTTTTCTCAAAATATTAAAACTCCTTCCCAACATGTATTGTCACACAATAAAATATTCCCAAATATTAGACCAAAATACCCTAACACTAACTTTCTCAATAACAGTATATCTGACTTCTGAGCTGAGTGTTCTCTAATTCTGAAACAATTTCATATTCTTCCTTGGACAAGTTGATCTCTTGCAGCTGAAGTTTCATGCAATCTTACTACATCATCATAGGAGATATCTCTTGTGACAAGAAAATGAACAAACAAGAAAGCAAGCAAGGTCAAATCAAAGGAGCATTCAGTGAGAGAAAAAGCTCGCATTTATGAAACTAATAGTGAGAAACAAAATATTGCCTCATGGAATGGAAAATCAATATACATATATACAATAGCCAAGCAAGGAGAATTAGCAAGAGAAGGTGAAGAAATACATACTGTGTAACGAGAAGCACATCAATAGTGGAAGGGTCAATCTCATCGAAGTAAGGTAAAGCAGCCATACCCGAATAAGCCGGATGAATTCCACAATCAAACTAACATTGGCATAATTCAACAACAAAAACATAAATTAATAAACAAAATACATTCATTGAATTTGATCCAGCATAATCAAGAATTACCAATAGTAAATTAGTATAAAATGGCATAATTGAAAAACAACAAAATGCATAGAGGGAAGGAGGGAGGGAAGCAGTACCAATACAGTCTTGCCTTTAAATGACATGTAAACACAGGATCGACCCACTTCATTTCCAGCACCTAAAGGGGTTAGAGTTAGCTGATCCCCTCCTTCTCTTGTTATTGGTGCATCCCTTCTTTTTAGTGACTGTGATTGCCCTGTTGATGCCATTCTTGTGTTCTTCAGCTGCCCCAAAACCAAAATGTATTTATGTCTCTGTAGAAAAACTCCTATACAGATAAACCCACTCAGCTTCTGGTTTGTAATGATTATATAAAATAAAAGAATACAACTTACAAAAGTTGAAATAAAGCTTAAATGTTTATAGCAATTATGCTTGAAGCTCAAACTTTTTAAAATTATAAGGTGGAAATGGGAGTTTCGCTACATCAGAGACATTGTTTCAAGGGGTTTTCTTTGCTTTTACTTGAAGATTTAATTAATGGATCAAATTAAAATACACAAATCAGTTAGCATGGCATATGTTCCAGTCCTAAGTAGTCACATGACTCAAAACCCACATTTGTATTCTTCAATTCACTTTTCAAGTAATGCAAGGTGAATTCGACAGCTATGATTCCAAGGTGAACCAAATTTGTGTTGTCTGAATGCTTTCTCAAATGCTCTTCCATTTATATTGTCACTTTGATGGACATGAACAGGACAAATAAATCTCAAGATTGACAAAGCATTTCCCTTTTGCTAACTTGAGATTGTCTATTCAAGTGCTAGATTAGAACCATTGATTTTTCACTGACTTGACAAACAAAACAGAAGATTGTCTTGTTAGGGTTTTGATGACTTGTGTGCTTTCTGAGGTAAGCTGTTTTGCCTTTGTCACCAGAGATAAGACACAGTTGACTCAAAGAGACAAGATGGCTTCAAAAACCAACTCGGACCTTGAAAGCAACCCAAGCCCATTCTTTCCCAGTTTCTACCAATTAAATCTACTTTAATAGTATATGACCGCACCAACTCCACTTAATATCTGTTCTTCCCATTGATACTTGACCTACTACATTGAACCCGCCCTTCTCATGTACAGTTCCGGTGACCCTTTCTGGTCATGCTGGTGCCAGGCCATATGCAGTCTTGCAAATCTAATTCACCACATCTCTCAACTAAAGTTAACATAAAACACAGCGTTCTGTTTGGTTACTATATATATATATATATATAAAGACAATTCTGTACTAATTAGTTATTCAGTCAATACGCCTGTAAATGCTTTGTGCATTATACTTGTTCGTAAGATTCAGAAAAAGAAGAGCAATCCTTAATTTCTCCTAAATAAACAAAGAGGAGGAGCAGCAGCAGGCAAAGAAAGATAGCATACGTACACATATACCTATATTAGTATTGTTAGACCACAAGAATGCTCCAAACCCCTACTTTTATGACCTTGGACTCCTCTCCTTCGCGTCTTTCAAACCCATTATAGCTCCACCGTCACGCTGGCGTGCTTGAGCAACCAAAATCATCTATCTACCCATACCCTCCTCATACAACAAGACAAAAACATTCTCTGATCACAGTTTAAAATTTTCAGTTTTTCAAATTAAGAAATATTGTATTTGAACAAAAAAAAAACTTAATTTTTCCGTTTCTAACTAAAAATTAAAGTATTACTAAAGAACCCTATCTTTAAAGAAATTAAAGTAGCAGTTGCGAAACTTTTTTCGGCTTTGCTTTAACCACCAAAAACACGAGAAAGAAAAGGGTTCCTTTTGAAATACCTAGCCTCATTGATTTAATAACTAAGAACTATTGATTCTTTTTAATTTATGCTAAGCAGACTCTACTTTACATGCACAATCTCAACATGAAAGTTCAAGCCACGCAAAATAAACAATCACAGAGCAAAGGATCGCTATTTACCTGCAAGCAGCGTCGACGACTCGAGTGGGAGGAACGGGCTCGCTGAGTTGCGGGTTTTATTATCACAGAACAAAGGACGTGGGATGGAAGAACAAACAGGGGGAGAGGGTGAAGAGGAATCGAGGAGGAAGGGGAGATAGGGATTGGTAATGTGCCTGAAGCTCAACAGACCATTGTTGATAGTGAGTTCAAACACTTTCGTATCTCTACCAAAAAACTACGCCGTTTTATTCATTTAAGAAAAATTTAATAAGTTAGGTCTAAGTTCCGGAAGACCGGCCGGTTCATCAAGTTTAAAAGGATGAAAGAAGGTGTTTATTTATACGGTAGTTTTGTTTTTAAAACTTATCATGTAAACATTAAGTTTGGTAATAACATAAAATACATCTAACTTTTCATGTAAGATTCATAAATATTTTTGTTGAAAGAAGCAGTTGCTTCTTACATTTACAAATCAGGTAAATTTATATAAATTCCTTGGACATTATTCACTCTACGGAATAAATAATATCCATTAATTAACTTAAACATTGTTGGCGTGAATAGTGCCACATGAAATAATATTAAAAAATAATTATTTATATTATAAATCAAATTAAAAAAAACTTTCGTCAAAACTTCAATAACCAAGTTCAAGTCAATTAGCTTGGTCATATAAGATTTTTCAAAAGTGTCTAATTTTTTTCATCCAGATTAAATAATTATATTTTATATATTATGAAAATTCTCTTGAACTATACAATAATATAATTTTGATTCAAAAAAAATCTCTAAGATTTTAATGTTTGAGTAATTTTTATTTTTATTTGATTTTTTTATTAAATTTGAACAAAATCCGTATTATATCCTTATATTATATAAACCAGGACGTTTTTAGAATGAAAAATATAATGCTTTTAATTCAAATGGAAAAACTTGAGGGGTATTGAAGAATTAAATAATACACAATGATATAATGATATAATAGACACAATTAAAAACTTAGGGATATATTAGAAACTATTCTGGATGTTTAATAAATATGAAAATTAGTTATGGTGTATATAAATTGGCTTAAATATTCTAAATTATAAAAAATAAATACAAGAACTTAAATAGAACTAGTGAAATGACCCGCGCGATGCCGCAGGTGAATTTTTGTACATAAAAAATATTAAAAAAACTAAGATATAAAAATATTAGGTGTTTTTTACAAAGTTATATCCAAGAGTTTTAGGTTTGACTGCAACACTGGATCTAAGAATAATATTTATAATAATATTAAACTTGAAAAACTCAAGTTTAAGTAGGTATGGCTGTAATATCAAACCCAATAGTCTTGGATATGGGTTTGCCTGTAAAGTTGTGTTATAAAAATGTGATGCTTAAATGGATTAATTAAAAGAACAAAACAAAGAGAAAAAACCAACATGAAGAAAAAAATTAATGAAGAAAAAGAAAAAAAATATGAATTAACTGGCTTAACCAGTCAAACTTGAGATTCGTGTTATGAAAGTCTGATAATTAAACAGAAAAAAATTTAATATCAACAAACTAAATAAAAAAAAAGTTAATTAAAAAAAAGCATCAACCTTTTCACTGTGGATTGTATTGTGCAGTTCATAGTGAAAGACATAAAAAAAAAAATTAAAGGTATCAATCTTTTCATCATGGACTGTGTACAATATTAAAAGATGAAATCGAAAGAACAAAAGTAATGAGGAAAAAAAAAACAATCTAAATCAATCGGGTTAATCGATCAAATATAGGATCTATGCCATGAAAATCTAATAATTAAATAGAAAAAATTTAATATTAAGAAACTAAATTAAAAGAATAATTACAAAACAAAAAAAAAGACAAAAAAAACTAAGGGCATCAGCTTTTTCATTGTGGATTGCACTGTGTAATCAACAGTAAAAGGCTTAAAAAGAAAAAAAAAAACAAAACAAAGGCATACACCACGAGTTATTTTTTTTTGCATAAAAAATAAAAAAAAAAATGTTAAGATCTAAGAGTGTTATGTATTTCTGCAAAAATATATCCAAGAGCCTTTGATTTAGCTACAACGATTGACCTAAAAGTAATATTTATAGTAATATTAAACTTATATGACTCAAGTTTAAGTGAGTCTGGTTGCAACACTGGACCCATTTGTTAATGAATCTCAAGGTTAACCCGTCAAACTCGGGAATCATTAACAAACTAAATTAAACAAAAAAAATTTATTAAAAGAAAAAAAGCAAAAAAAAATGCATAAAGGCATAAAAAAACCATAAAAAAATGAAAACAATATATATATATATATCATAATAATAATTATTGTTATATTATTATTGTTATTATTATTATATATAAGTATGACTAGAAAAAAAAGCAAAAACAATAAAATTTCAGGTTAACTCGTCAAATTAATAAAAAAAAATCTGAATTAACTGAGTTAACTCTTCAAATCAGATTAACCCGTCAAACCTTAAATTTGCGTCATGAAAGTTTGATAACTAAATAGAAAAAAAAAATTGACGGGTTAACCTGCAAAAAAAGAAAAGAAAAAAACCAATAATAATAATAATAATAATAATAATATAAGTATGATTAAAAGGTGTGGGGAAGCTATAACGTTTTCCCCACACAAAAAAAAAAACTAATGAAGAAAAAAAAATCATTAATTAGAAAGAAAAAAAAGCAAAAAAAATAAAATTCCAGGTTAACTCGTCAAATTAGGTTAACCCGTCAAACTCGGGATCCATTAATAAACTAAATTAAACAAAACAATTTATTAAAAGGAAAAAAACAAAAAAAAAGCAAAAAAAAAACCATAAAAGCATAAAAAACCAAAAAAAGAAAAGAAAAAAACCAATAATAATAATAATAATAATAATAATATAAGTATGATTAAAAGGTGTGGAGAAGCTATAGTGTTTTCTCCACAAAAAAAAAACTAATGAAGAAAAAAAAATCTGAATTAACTGGGTAATCCTTCAAATCAGGTTAATTCGTCAAACTTTAGATTCACGTTATGAAAGTTTGATAGCTAAATACAAAAAAAAAATAAAAAAATTGATGGGTTAACCCATAATGAACTGGATTAACCTGTAAAGTTTGAGAGATGTGTTATGAAAGTCTGATAATTAAATAGAAAGAAATTTAACATTAACAAACTAAACTAAATAAAAAAATTAATTAAAAAGAGAAAAAGCAAAAATAAAATAAAATTTTAGGTTAACTCGTCAAATCAGGTTAACCTATCAAACTCGGGATTCATTAACAAACTAAATTTTTAAAAAATTATTAAAAAAAAAAACCCATGAAGGTATAAAAAACAAAAACAAAACAAAAAAATGACAACAAAAAAAAATATTATAATATAATTATAATATAATACTATAATATAATTATCATTATAATAATACTAATTATTATTATTATTATTATTAT